AGAATGGGAGAAAATATTTGCAAATGAATCAACTGACAAAGGATTAATCTAAAGAGAGAGACAAATACCGTATGCTAACACATATATATGGAATTTAAGAAAAAAAAAAAGTCATGAAGAACCTAGGGGTGAAACAGGAATAAAGACACAGACTTACTAGAGAATGGACTTGAGGATATTGGGAGGGGGAAGGGTAAACTGTGACAAAGCGAGAGAGAGGCATGGACATATATACATTACCAAACGTAAGGTAGATAGCTAGTGGGAAGCAGCCACATAGCACAGGGAGATCAGCTCAGTGCTTTGTGACCGCCTGGAGGGGTGGGATGGGGAGGGTGGGAGGGAGGGAGACGCAAGCAGGAAGAGATATGAGAACATGTATATATATAACTGATTCATTTTGTTGTGAAGCTGAAACTAACACACCATTGTAAAGCAATTATACCCCAATAAAGATGTTAGGAAAAAAAAAAAAAAAAAGATGTTAAAATAAATAAATAAATAAACAAAATTTAAAAAAGAAGCCAGATATAAAAGGTCAAAAAAAAAATCTATTTTCAACATATTTAATGCAAATTTCTCTCCCTTCTTTTCCCTTTTTTGTCAATTTGCCTTTTCTATAAGCTTTTGTTCTTAATTTATGATCAGTTTCCCAAGAAAAAAAGGCTAATCACTGAAAGGGCAGTTCTCAACTAAGGAATGGGCTACTCAAAGGTTATCTGTAAGTATGTTGATGCATATTTTCCATAGAAATATTTTAAATGATACTTAAGTCCCAGATTTCCCCACAAAAAGACAAGAAATATAGCTCAAGAATAGTTTTAATACTAGTCTCTCTCTTCTTCCGAAAACCCCATTGTCAGATATATCAGCAACTCTAGTAAGGCAGAAGCAGTAGCAACAGCAAGCGAGTTTGATATACTGTTGTATGACTACTTAGAGCATCTTTTCTTTGAAGTCAAATGAAGACCTAGATACTAAAAATTCTGACAGAAAAGGAACCCTTAATGGCCAAACTTTTAACATTTTACTATCAAGGTAAAGGTTTTCCTAACTGACAAAAATTACTTTCATGCAGACAGCAAAGGAGCTGGAGGTTTCTTCTGCATTTTTAAAATGTCCATTACGTTGTTTCTCAATTTTGAACTTTAATAAAGGAAGATGTTGCTAGGAAAGAACCTCTCCAAACTGAGGAGTCTCTGAATAGGAGTTATAATATCTAAATGTTATATTGCTAACTTTTTTACTTCTAAAAACTACTGTGGTTTTAATTCATCAATAAGTATTAGTTACTTGCAACACACAATGACAACTATACCCTATAATAACTAAAAGTATTCTTATCCTCTTCTCTAGCAATGTGTTTAGCTTTATCATGCAGTCACTCTACCAAATAGTCACTGAACACCTATTATATGCTACTTATTATTCTAGCCCTGGTGGATATAACCGAGAAAGTCTCTGCCCTTAAAATTAATACATCCTAGTGTAGAAGAACATAGACCATATATAAATATATTAAATATCATATGCTGGTAAGTGCTATGCAGAAAAATAAAACAAGGTAAAGAGGACAGAGTCATCATTTTGACATTCCTGGCCCCCACCCACTAGCCTCCACCCACTAGACGCTAGTAGTACTCCTTCTAGTTGTAACAGCCAAAAATGCCCTCAGCCATTGCTATATGCTCAATGAGGGGTAAAATCACCTCTCTGGTTGAGAACCACTGTCTTAATTCTACCTGCTATGACAACAATAACAATGCTAACATTTGAGCATTTAGTATATGCCAGGCACAATACTGAACACTTTACACATATTTTCATTAAATACTCAAAACCATACCCATTTTACAGTTGAGAAAATGAAAGCTTAGAGGCTAAAAAACTTGCCTAAAATCATGTAGCTAAGAAAGTGGCAGGTCTGAGATGTGACCAAAGGAATACAATTTTGCAGCTCATGCTTTTAACCTTAAACAAGTCTGACTCAAACTTGAGTCGTTTCTTATCCAAATGATAATTCTTCACATATTTGAAGACAGCTCTTATTGTGAGATTCCTTAACATCTACCAGAGATGTCCCCAAGACCTCTAAATTTTTAGTTACCTAAGCTGACAAGACTTCCAATTTCTTCACATCCTTCCTTCTGAATATACAAAGAAGTAAAGACAACACTTTGGTGTACTGAAGTGGCTCTAACCTTCCTTTCCATTCGTTAAGATGGTTTCTAAGGGCAGGGGGGAGGGTGGTAGGGGAGAAGATGGGATGATGGCAGCTATACTGTACTTTTGTTTCATATCAAGTTTACTGCCAAAAACTACTCTCAAGTCTTTTCCAAATGTGATGCTGTATATAAGGCCATGCTAACTTAGTGTATATTAGTGTTTTTCAGGCCTTATGTATATGCCTCAAAAGTTCATTTAAATTTAGTCCAACAGTCCAGACCTGGAGATCACTATGGATCATTTAGTGTTTTATTTACGATCTTTCTTTCTTCACTGTCACCTATAAATTTGATAATTTGCCTTCTCCATTTGAGCAATAAGACAAAAGCAAAGAACAAAGCCACCTTCCAAGATCAAAAACCTTTGGAGAGGATCCTTCAAAATGAAAACTGTGTTGATTAATTAAAACAATCAACTAGTGGCTAACTCATTTTTCCTTCACCCAAGGATATAAAAAAAATTTTTTTACCAAAACCTAAGTTTAAGTCCAAATACCTATTGCTACTAGGCTACCAACTGCATCAGAGAAAAATCAAAGTTGTTCTGACAATCTGTTTTTAGCAAACCCATTCTGGATCATCTTTAACCTGTTTTTTTCCTTCAAGTTAGTCATAAACTATCCTTCATTTTTTGCTCTAAAATCTTCTTTTTCAAAACCAGGCCTAGAACCCCTCATCTTTTAGTACTTCTTGTATTCTCCTAAAACCTTTAAAGACTACAAATAATATAAATAATTTTAAGATTTTACAGTCAGTTCCTTAACTGTAAGATGTTCCAGAAGACAATTCATTTAGCTAGATGCATTACTTAACTCTATATTCATGTTGGTTTTCTGTCTTTACTAGAAATGTTTGCTTTGCTATTATTATTGATGGTGGTGGTGGTTTGCTTTTCCTGACAAAGCAGCTCCTAAATAAGACTTGAGGAATTTTTGTCTTACCTCATTGCCATACATTATTATTACACTTTCACTGATTTCCTTCTTAAAATGTAATATAAGAAACCCTTTTGGTTGGCCTTTGCATTTCTTAAAAGTCTCAGCTTGTCTGAGCTCTGTTTCCCTGATTTTTAAGAAGATTTTCTATACTTTGTTATGGCAATCTTATCTGCTTTGTTTTAAAAGTAATGTGCATATCTTTAAAGAGTTCATTGTATAATCACACTGAGAATCTTTTTCCTTCTGAAAAGTATCAAAATTGTATTTTTACTTAACTCCTTAAGACATTCTTCCTTTTTAGAGAAATCTATGCTGTGGAATCAAGCTGATCTTTTCTCTGATCACGAATCAGAAAAACTCAGATTGGTGAAATAAATTACAAAATATATATATACAAAACACTATGCAGTTCTCAAGAATTATGCTATAGAAGACTTTCATGACAAAGGGAACGTTCGTGATTAAGTTTGCTTTTTATTAAAAAAAAAGAAAACAACAAGAAATGGGTTATATAACAGTGTATACAGTAATATCCCAAAATCATTTTTAAGTGTTTATGTGTGAATGTACATTTTTATATATACACAGGGAAAAAAGGTTATATGTGAAAATATTTAAAGTTTTTCTTTTGATGGTAGAACATCTTAATTTTATTCTATGTGCTTTTCTGTATCTATCAAATTTATGTAATGAATATGTATTACTCTTATAATAACACAGGCATTATTTTTTAAAAAATAAGCCGAACCAGAGAAAAAAATATTCTATAAAGTATAAGTCGAGCGTGAGATTTCTGCTTTTATAACTCTATTACTAAAGCAAGCTTAGAAAAACATTTCTGGACACAAAACCAGGGGAAAAAAAAAAAGCCAAAATAAGATACCACCAGTTAGCCTATCTATACAAATAAGTTATGATAACCATCAAGATGACCATTCAAACTTTTAGAAATAAAATGGGGGAAATCACAAGAACTTCCTGACATTTCAAGGAAAAGAATGTTATAAACTACTTAATAACATTTAAAATAATTTTAAAATGTTGTATATCCTCCCAAATCCCTACCAAATGAAGGCTCAGTAGGATAGGGATAATGAAGACAAAAGAAAAAAGCCATTAGTCAAATTATTTAAAATTGTGCCACAATTTCCTACTAAAGTAAGCACTGTTACCAGTCAAGACTTAAAATCTCATAGCAAGAACAATTATCTTCATTTAGAAATATTTTCTGGTTGAAAATCAATTTGCAGCAATCCAAAAACTTATCTAATTTACTATTTCAGTGGCAGTATCTAGATCATCTATTCAGAGCCTGTGTTCCAAAAAACTAGGAAAAAAGTCATCTTAACCAGTTAAAACTTTATCATTCAAATACATTCAGTTCTGTAAAATATATATAAAGTGATTCAACTAATCCTTAATTCATCCAAAAGTAAAAATACATTCACCTTCTTCTTTAGGAAATTATTTCATTTCTCTATCTTGAATTTTATTTTCAAATATATCAAAAATATTATTTCAAAATTAGTTTTTCCTTAAATAAATTTTATATGATATTCATAAGAAACAATATCAAACATAATGCATTCTCAATTACATATTCTACTAAGACTTTAAATGAAATAAAAAACAAAGCCTCAAACCCATAGAAACAATAAAAACACACACTATTTATTTTAAATAACTTGCCATTATACTGACAATCAAGACATATGATCTTTAACATTCAGAAACATAAATGATCATAATGAAACAAAGGCTAAACATATCTCTCTCAACCTCTCATATATGTATAGAATTATAACACAGCATTATCATGTAATAAATGAATACACACCTTACTTTAGTATATGCCAAGGCAGACACACAAAAACAAGAAAAAAATTTTGAAATCAGAGTATAAAGGGACTCTGCTTTTTCAAACAATGCAGCACTGAAAGCCAGGTCAGCATCCTTGGGCATTACTAGGAAACTTTGGCACATCTGATATTTCCATCATCTTCAGAATTCCTCTGAACAATGAGAAAATTTCCCAGTCACCCTACCTCACCTGTCTACAGACTTCCTTTAGCTTTCCTCCCTCTACTGTGTAATAATGCTACTGAGGTTATTTAGGCTTTAAATGTTCAGAGATACAACCCCCGCTATATATTAATTCAGTTTATTTTCTCACAGACACTGACTCAGCCGTGGGTTGTGCAGCACTGACGTTTCTAACCAAACAGCATCGTGTGAGCTGTGATCGTCCCACTTCTCCATCTTTGTGCAGTGATTGGATATTCTAACTGATAGACAGGATGAAGAAAACTCAGGAGATGAGGGCTTAGTGATATGCAGATATGTTGCCAAATGCCATCTGTAAAGCTAATTCTAGCTCTGCCAGCTTGCCAGGTTTTAGAAAACTAGGATGCAGCTAACTTTCTTTTTTCCTTTCAATATTTTATTGTGTACCTATTCTGGGCAGTAAAACTTCTCTTTAGAACTGAAGAGAAAATATTATCTGTACTTTAAGAACACACTAAGGAACTACTCTTTAAAGCAACCAAACTTTTCCATTTCTAAACTGCTGCTAGGACTAAAGAGTGACTTAAAAAGGAAAATGGAAAGCTCAATCTTAGTGCAGTCTCAGAAGAAAGGAGCATGCGTACTTCTGTGTGGGAATGAACCCCTTGCGGCAAAGTCTGATACTGAACGTATGATGCATTTATCTTTAGTAACCTGAGCAGACTGCAGATCTGTGTTTTAAACAGTTGTATTCGACCCAATTCAAATATGCAAGAGCTTTTAGCATATTGTCACTCTAGGGCATTTTAACATCAGTTACACAGAAAAGGTGCTCTATCTTTTTCCTTTTTAAATAGCAAAAACTCTTCTAATTTAAAGAAAGTTGTCATAACTCAAGCCAAATAAACTTCAACTGAAATGATCTTTAACCTCTCAGCAAGCTACCAACCCCCTCAATATAAGTATGAACTATAAAACTACTAGTCAGAAAGAAATAAAGTTCAGTAATTTTTCAGCTAATTCATTTGTATGCACTTGCAGAGGAATCACAGGCACCCTGAATTTCATCCTCGTCCCGATCAGTTTCCCTGCCTTGTCTTTTATATCAGTGTTATACCTATTAAGTATACATTCAAAGAAACATCAGAAAAGAAAGTACCTTAAAGTTGTATTAGGTAAAAGAGAAACCATAACGCAATGCCCACCAAACCCTCAAACCTCCAAGGTAAGTACATAGTAGTTATTATTGTTACCTTTATAATTCAAGAAATTTATTTTTATCCTTGCTAATAAGGAAAGGTAAAGAGGGAAAAAAAATCAAAGGAAAAACATTTTAGAAAGCAGGCTATTCCAATATGTGAACAGAACAAAAAGCAAATTTAAACAACTTTTTTGAAAATCCTCAAAAACTGAACCAATAAAGTATGCTTATTTCTTTATTGCTAAAGGCTGAATGTTTTTAGTTTCAAAATTCATCTGTTGATACGTATTCCCCCAACGTGATGGTATATGGAGGGGAGGTGATTAGCTCATGAGGGCAGAGCCTTCATGAATGGGACTAATACCTTTATAAAAGAGATCCCAGAAAGATTCCTAGTCCCTTCTACCATGTGAGGACACAGCAAAAAGAGGGGTGTCTGAAGCAGGAAGCAAGCCCTTACCAGATACCAAATGTGCCAGTGCCTTGATTTTGGACTGCCCAGCCTCCAGAACCATGTGAAATAAATTTCTGTTGTTTATAATACAGCCACTCAGTCCATGGTATTCTGTTATAGCAGCCTTAACAGACTGACACATTTAGTTTTTGTAAATTTAAATCCCCAACTGTTTGAGGTGGCAACGGGAGCACTTATATTTCTCAGCCTCTATAATCCAGCGATGACCATATGACACAGTTCTAGACAATAATTTATTGATATAAGCAGAATCCCGCTGGAAATTTCTGAGAAATTTAATTTCCTGATATAAATGAGACCTCTTTCCCATCGTCCCCGTCTCCCTTCCTCCTCCTCCTCCTCCTCCTCCTCCTCGTCTGGAAGGTGGACATGACAGTTGGAACTATGGTAAGCCATCTTGTGATTGTGAGGAAACACCAAGAAAAATCAAAGACCTTTGACCCTAATATCCTGAAGCCTTTTTGTGTACAAGAAAAATAAACCCCTAAGTTAAGCCAGTGTTTAATCTGGCTTCCTACTCAAACATCCCTAAATAAAATACACAAGATTCAGAAAAAGGATGCGAGTAGGCAGAAGTATAGATGAAACAAAATCAGCCATGAGTTGATAACTTGAAGCTGGGGAATGGGTACATAGGGGTTCATTATACCTGTTCTCTCTACTGTATATGTATTTTAAATGTATCACAATAAGTTATTCAAAATTTTAAAAAATAAAAAGGAGAAACTTGTTTATAAATTCTAGCTTTGTCATTTATAAGTTGGATGGCCTTGGGCAAGTTTATTAACCTCATTTTTTTAATCTGTTAAATGGGGACAGTAATACTATTCACAGAGCTCTACCTTTAGATCCAGTCAAGGTAATCTCCAGAAGGTCCCTGGCAGGAAT